TAATGGGCCAGTCGGAGCCGCGGTGTCTGCGCCCCAGCGCAGGGGGCTCCTCCAGAGGCGGCGGCCTCGGCGCCTGCCATGCGACCTGCACCTCTGGCCTGGCCTCCCTGGGGAGTCCCGGCGTCCTCGTGCCATGGAGCGCTGTGGCACTGGAACCCGACGTCACACTCGTCCAGGCCAGACCGGTGGACAGTGAGAGCCAGGCAGAGCGGAAGGTCCAGTGCTGGGCGGGGGTCCAGAGCTGCGTCCTGCCCACCCCCCAACCTGAGCCACTGTGCCCAGGTCTTTGTCACAGCTAGGTCTGAGGGGTCACCCTGACTATGCCCTCTCTGGGCGGAAATGCCCAAGGAACTGGTTACAAATAGACCAGTGAGAAAGTTTCCATACAGGAAGATGAAATTACAACCCAGCACGGTGAGCAAACTGTTCACCACTGGCTTCTTAGTAGGTGGTGGCTGCTTGTGCACATCCTTTCTCCTGGGAGGCAGGCTTCCCTGGTCAGCAGCTACTCCTCTACACCACCCAGTGCAGCCCAGGAACAGGGCGCCTTTCAGAACAATGCGTTTCTGCAGGTAGTGGGTTTTCTGTGCCCCTGAGCCTCCCTGAATTGAGCCTTCCTCTGTTAGCAGCGCACATACTGTTTAAACTGTTCAAGCCTCCACATCTGACCTAAGGCCTACGTGGAAGTGTGCACTTAGGCAAGTGTTAACTCCTCAAAAACACACATAAAATCTCAAATTTTAGATTGTGAAAATCAAAAACTTCGAAACAGTGTAGGAGTGGAAAAACAAAATACTCATGATTTCTGAGAAACTACTGTGTGCCGTGCCCCCTGAACCATCTCCATAGTATCCAAGTACCACAATTCCCTTCAAGTTGACCAAGGTTCAGGAAGCTGGAAGATGACAGAGTCTGCTTGACACCAATGTGTTCAAGTCCAGGGGCTGGAAGACTATTGGAAGCTGGAAAATTTTATACCCAAACTCATGATTCAATCAATAGAATTGAAATGTTTTTCTGGGAAAGCTATTTGAGGACCACAGAAACTGCTGTAGCATGACTGAGTTAGAGTTTTCTTTCCCACATTCTTGGAGCTGAGTAAATAGAGGAGAATGAATATGAAAATTAACTGATAATGCCTATAATTTAAATGTTGGTGTTTAACTACAAAATAGCTTTTCAGCACCTTAAGCAGAAGTAGCTAAAAACAAATGACAATAAATAAGGGTTGTATGCCCATCAAAATACATGTAAACCACCCCGTGGAGTTGCTTAATTGATATTTCCCGTGTGGTTGACTCAAGCAAAGGGCCAGAAGCAACAGTATTTACTATTCCAACTCCTAATATCAGAGATTCTATCAACTTCTAACATCTCCACATGTAACATCACAGCAACTACATCAGTAATAAAAGGAGGAGGAATAAACTCCAGCCACTCCCCCCACAGGCAAGAAACACACTTCTTAAAATATCTGTAATGGATGAAGATAAAGCTATACTGTCTTTTCTCCAAGATGTTTCTCTAAAGCCCTCCTCAGCTTATTAAGTTTCATTTTTCTTTACAACATGGTCCACTTAATCATCCCATTTTGCAGAGTACTGAAAAACAGAGAGATTTGCCCAATATCTGAGAAGGCCACATGTTTGTTAAGCCCACTGCAGGCACAGCTGTCAATCCAGTTTAGTTTGGCCACCCAATGAGTCTTAGCTTGTGAACCACATCAAGCTGTACCACAATATTCTGTCAGAAAAGTTGACCAAATGTCATGGAAATAGATGTTATAGCAACACTTGTGATGTACAAAATCTTCTCTGCTGTAAACACTCAACTTTTCACCTGTGTTTTCCAGTCCCAGAGGAGCTGGGGAGTGTTTAAAACAATAACTTATTCCCCAGTTGACAAACATGTCACACTTTGACATTCTAGTAGAAAAAATATTTCTATCAGAGTGTCATAAGCCTACATAAAAACATTTGATGGAGAAGCAGGCTCGCTCCCCAATCTACCTATAGACATGTCTATACCACATGTTATATATATCTATATAGATATATATAGATATCACCGCATGTTACACACATACACACAGCTTTCCAGGCAAGCTGCACATAAGTTCATTGCATTCATAACTGGGAGCCAAATAAGTGTTCCCATTTTCTCTTAAAATTAGAGAAAAAGTTTTGTACGCATTCGTAATTATTATTCGTTAAGATTTTCTATATTCATGAGAGATATTTTCATATCCTCCAAGCAAGATGCACGCTACTCTAGCACCAGGGTGCGTGAGACCATGGCCCCTTTTCCATCCTGACTGGATCTGGGGAGGGTCCTCGGGAAGGGAGGGCACCACTGGCTCGCTGACCTCGGGAGACCAGGCCACGCAGGGAGCGGAGATCCCCTTCCTTTCTCGCCCTTCTGACTGCCCAGCGGTTTTACGGGCGCTTGGACGAGGCTGTTTCTTTAAATCCACCTATTTCGGGGGAAGGGCAATCGGGTTTGGTTTTTGTTTGTTCTCTTTCCCTTGCCCTCTTCTCTCGCTCCCTCTTGCTAGCAAAGGTGAAATGTGCCCAGGCAGCGCCCGGGACAGGCCACTCCAGGAACCGAGGCGCGGCTGAGGAGCCGGCTCCGCGCACCG